ACAGAACACCATGGACTTTGTGGATAAGGTGAGGGATGTCATCATGGAGACTGATGAAACAATGGTCTCTTTTGATGTCACATCACTCTTTACGTGCATTCCTGTTGATGATGCAGTAGAGGTGGTCAGTTTAAGATTAAAATCAGACACCACTCTGAGCAGCAGGACCACACTTTCCACAGAGCAACTGTGTCAACTCTTGAAACTGTGCCTGCACTCAACCTACTTCACATATGGGGAGCAATATTATAGGCATAAACATGGGTGTGCTATGGGGTCTCCAGCTCTGTGGATAAATATATCAAGTTCACACGAGAAGATGTAGAAAATGGCAGGCTGGCTTTCTTGGACTGTGAGGTCTCAGTCTCTGATAGATGACATTTGCAAACTGAGATGTACCGCAAACCCACCCACACAGACCAGTATTTGCAGTTTGACTCCCATCACCCTTTGGAGCACAAGTTAGGAGTCATCAGGACCTGTACCACAGAGCAGACAGCATCCCCACTAACTCAGGAACCAGGCAGAAGGCGAAATCCCACACAAGACAGGCTCTAGAGCAATGTGGATATCCTAACTGGGCCTTCCTGAAAGCAAAGAAGAAACCCAAACATGACTCCAGTCAGCCATCAGGTAAAAAGGGGGAACCAAGACCCAGACCAGTGGTTCTTCCATATGTTGTGGGAGTATCAGAGAAACTGAGACGTTTAGTTTCTAAACACAACGCCCCAGTGGCTTTTAAACCCCAAAATACATTATGGCAAAGACTGGTTCATCCCAAAGATCCAGTCCCCCGGCACAAACAGAGTAATATTGTGTATGCTGTTCAGTGTCAGGAGGGCTGTGATCAGTCTTACATCGGGGAAACTAAAAAGCCACTGACCAAAAGGATGGCCCAGCACAGAAGATCAACATCATCAGCTCAGGAATCTGCAGTCTACACTCATCTCCAGGCCAGCGGTCACTCTTTCAGGGATGAAGATGTTCACATCCTTAATAGAGAGGAACGATGGTTTGAGAGAGGAGTAAAGGAGGCCATCTTTGTGAAAATTAACTGTTCATCATTAAACAGGGGTGGAGGCCGCCGTGATCAATTGTCTCCCTCTTACAACGCTGTTATTGCTAGTATCACTCAGCCCCCTGTGAATAGTAAACAGTCATCAGTGTGCTAATGATCCATTGTTAGGCTGATGTTCCTCCTTGACCATGTGAGCAACTGGTTTTGGTTGTCAGCAGCAAACTGGTTGATCCACTCTGAGAAGGTGCTATTTAAGAGACCGAGCTGAATACAGCACCTCAGACTGAAGAAGTATTTTGGATGAAAGACGAAACGTTTCTACAATTTATTTACTTTTTGAATGTCCAGAGGACCAGATTGAACTTTTTTTAGATTTTTCGACCTGGATTATTGAGCATGCATCACGATATCAATACAAAATGTGAAATACTACAAAGATTGTAAAATGGCCTGTTAAGCAAAAATTAGGAGAAAGATAAAAATCTGTCTGTGAACAAAGAAAACTTGGCAGATCAACAAATTACAAATTAATATGTAAAACAATCCGAAGGAGCTGATGATAAAAGCTGATGAGAAAACAGCTGGGATGACCCTAAGTTGAAATATCTGTTCATGTTTCATACATGTTCAGATTTCTTGAAGTGGCGTTCTGTAAAAATGAGCAACCAAAATCTTACCTGCTCTTTAAACGCCATCATATGGAGAAATAAAGTTTAATTTAATTTAATTTAAAGTGTAATTGTAACTGGATTGAGGAGCTAATGGCTTAAAGATGGGATTTTATTTAAAGAAACCTTCACATCACTGTCAATTTCAAATTGCATTGTTGCGTACATGGAGCTTGGTGCATTTTTGCAGCACAAATATCAACAACATCTAGTTGTGTCACATCTGGGACAGCTAGAACACTATCAGCAGGAATATCAGGTTATTTCTTACAAAATATTTGGGTAAAACAAAATGTGTGGAGTTAAAGTTTACAAAAAATAGCAATTACATGAACTTGAACACAAATTTCAGACCAAAACCCAGAGACCTTCAAAATAACACATATAGGTATAGCACCACCTAACTTTGTAAAGCTGCGAAAATAATATTTTTTTATTGTAGAAATACAAATGTGTACTGTATATTCTTTTCACCAGATGATTTGGATATTTTTTATAATGGAAACTTTCTTAATTATCATTATTCACAACCATTGCAATTATGTTGAACAAAACAAGGTACAGTGATAAAAAAAAAACCTCCATTATTCAATATAAATATAGAGCAATGAAGTGTTTTGTATTGTCGGTGATAGTAAATGTTATCTCATCAGTCACTTTAATGTTCTTCAGACACTTTGAGACAAAGGTGAGAAAGGTGAAAGGTGAATCAGACTGGTAGCTCCCAACAGATGGTTCTGATTCATCCCATCAAAGTGTGAATGATTGCTTGGCTTTCACAGCAGACAATAAAACACATCAGCACCATGGTGCCACAAGAAAAAAAAAAAAAAAAACAGAACTCCATTCTTTTTTTCTTAATCAAAATAATTGTATGCATATGACTGTATGAAGCTTTTTGTGTGTAGATGAAAGCTGGTCGTTGCTGGAAAAACTCGATTTTCTTGGGCAAAAGCGGAGGGAAATTAAGTAAAATGTTCTCTTTAATCACCACCATTTTTTTGTGTTAACAGAATATTTATGTACATCTAAAGTGTGTTGAATGGCTCAGATAAAGCTTGGTTGTGACATTGTGTCAGACAGAAAATGTATAGGTGTATTAATCCAGGGCTCTGAGGTTATATAATGGAGTCTATGCACCGCCATGAGCCTGACATGAGACAGCTTCAGCCCGCAGGCTCTGCCAGCTGGCCGGCTCTCCCAGAGTTCCCTGCATTCTGTCATCTCGGATAAGAGAAAATGGGATTTCCAGTGGCTGCTGCTCAGCTGATCCCTGTGGTTGGACATTTAGAAAGACTAGTGAGTGAGATCAATAAGAAAAAAAATTGAAACAGAGGAAATCAGCAGGGATCCGTTTTGGTGGCCTTAGGATTGTGTCTCTGCTTTTTGCAGATGATGTGGTCTTATTGGCTTCATCAGATCATGATCTACAGCTTTCGCTGGAGCGGTTCGCAGCCGAATGCGACGCGGCCGGGATGAAGATCAGTTCCTCCAAATCCGAGGCCATGGTCTTGAGCTGGAAAAGGGTAGAGTGCCCTCTCCGGGTCAGGGAGGAGGTCCTACCCCAAGTGGAGGAGTTCAAGTATCTTGGGGTCTTGTTCACGAATGAGGGAAAAATGGAGCGTGAGATCGATAGGCGGATAGGTGCCGCGTCTGCAGTGAAGCGGGCGCTGTACAGGTCTGTAGTGGTGAAGAGAGAGCTGAGTCAAAAGGCGAAACTCTCAATTTACCAATCGATCTATGTTCCCACCCTCATCTATGGTCACGAGCTTTGGGTTGTGACCGAAAGAATGAGATCTCGGATACAAGCGGCCGAAACGAGTTTTCTCCGCAGGGTGTCTGGGCTCTCCCTTAGAGACAGGGTGAGAAGCTCGATCATCCGGGAGGGACTCAGAGTAGAGCCGCTGCTTCTCCACGTCGAGAGGAGCCAGTTGAGGTGGCTTGGGCATCTGTTTAGGATGCCTTCTGGACGCCTCCCTGGTGAGGTGTTCCGGACACGTCCCACCGGAAGGAGGCCCAGAGGAAGACCCAGGACACGCTGGAGGGCCTATGTTTCTCGGCTGGCCTGGGAACGCCTCGGGATTCCCCCGGAAGAGCTGGCCCAAGTGGCTGGGGAGAGGGAAGTCTGGGCCTCCCTTCTTAGGCTGCTACCCCCGCGACCCGACCCCGGATAAGCGGAAGAAAATGGATGGATGGATGGATGGATGGAAATCAGCATTAACCATTTTGACTGCAGCTTTTGCTTAATTTTAAGAAAAGCAAAAAGTCATCTTTGTAAGAAGAATGAAAGAGTGATTCAATCTAAATTTGAACAATTTTATCTTTAATTTCACATTGCTGGTTTTTGAGATTTGTGTTTGAAACGTAGATAAAGAACTGTAATAATAATTATTCTAACTCACTATAGTTAGGCCATCTTAGCTCAGTGGTCAGTGCTGCTGTCTTATCATTTTGAGACTGCAGGTTCAGTCTCAGGATGCCTCTGGAAGAATATCTGGCATAAAAGGGGCCGACATGTGGTAGAGGTAAAGCAGCCGACTTGGGACCAGAAAGTTGCGGTTCGACTCCCCGCCATTCCCACATGCCGTGGTGTCCCTGTGCAAGAAAACCCAATCCCCAATTGCTCCCTGTGTGCCCACATAGCTGCTCATTGCCCCACCTGGGTGTACCTCACATGTGATGGGTTAAATGCAGAAAACTAAATTTGTCATTGTATGGGAACATACAATGATGACAACACATAGCAATTTACTTTGTAAAACAATTGCCAAATCATCTGTGAGTTCTCTGGCTATGGCAACCCATGCAGAGATGAGCAGCTGAAACTGCTTCTGCTATTTACTCTAATTTAAAGTTGTTTTATGAAAAAAATGTTATTTCGACATAATAGTAAAAACAAGTTTTTATCCAGGAACGTAAGTACATATTTAATAAGACATACCCAGCAATAAAATAAAGTTGTGGAGCATTAAGTGCAGAACCACTAAACTGAGGAACAGCTTCCACCCTGAAGCTGTTAGACTGATGAAAATATAACCAGGATAATCAATGTGAAAAAAAAAAATCACTGCCACTTTGATTGGTGATATGTGCTGCTGATTATCCATACTGTTGATCTCATGCTGCTGATTATCCATACTGTTGATCTCATGCTGCTGATTATTATCCATGCTGCTCTATTCCTTTGTCCTCATCTACTCATACAGACTCATGTTTGTGCTGCTGTTGTTCGGTGTATTGTTTTGCACAATTAGTGTTTAGCATATTTCTTAGTTTATATTGGTTTATGTGTTTGTTGTTCCTGTGGTCATCAGGGACATGTGTTTGTGGGGAGTGTACCTGCTATGATGTGGATCCCTCTGGTGACTGGGGGGACATTCATGGAGACACTTGTGAGTGCGATGAGAGGAACTGCCATGCAACATATGATCGATACACAGATGATTACTGCTCAGGTCAGAATGCTGCAATGTTAATAAAAATGCTTTCAGGTTTTAAACTCCATTTAACTGGATTCAAGATCCTATCATAGGCTGTACAGATGACAGTGATATTAATCTTGGCTAAAATAGTAAACTCTGCCTTTGCTTTAAAATGGAAACTGTTTTGAGATTTTTAATTAGCATTTGATGAGATGTATTGTTTTCTAAAAGTAAACAATATTTTTTTTCTGTATGTTCAAATCCAATCTACATTTTTGTTAATAATACTGTCATGCAACTTTGTTCCCACTGAAGCAAGTTTTTCATATAAATTAAGGACAAACGTGTATGAGTTAATGACAACATCTGCACTTTTTTATAGAATTCAGAAAAAGATAGCAAAGCAGGCATTCATTAAGCCAAATAAGTTTCTTTGCCAACTAATTTGGCACCTTTTCACTTCTATGACCAATCAATCTCACATAATGTGTTTCTTTTTCTGTCCTGGATAGAATTATTTAATTTCTGATTGCTTAAATCCACCCCTTTGTTTCTCTTCTGGGCATCCTCCAACTCTCTTTCTTGGCAGGTCATGGTCAGTGTAATTGCGGAAGGTGTGACTGCAAGGATGGCTGGACAGGAAAGAAGTGTGAGCATCTTTTGAGTTGTTCGTTGTCTTTGGAGAGCAGTCTGAAGAAATGCAGAGGAGCATCAAATTTACCCTGCAACGGACGAGGTATCCTTCAGTTGCCAAGGTTACTGCAGTTGTGCTCCCACATCCTAATGTTAAACAAAACCTTTCCAATGTTTCATAGTCTTTTGACATGTTAAGAAGGTTTTTCAAAACATTGCCTTGCACAATATTCAAAAATATAATACTAATGCTAATCAATCCACAAACTTAACCATGCTTCTATAAATACTAGGTTTGTACTTTAAACGTGTCTGTCAGTTTGTCTGTTCTATTTTGTATAGGCTTCACCCTTTAAGGCTATCGCTAGTGGGTTTATCCCGTCGCGCGCAGTGCAGCACTGAGAACGTTAGTCCACGCCCACCGGCTGTGTGGGCCCCACCCCTGGTCCGTATAAATTACGGTAAGACCGGGCAATCGGCTTCCATTTTTTCTTCAACCAGCTAGCTAGCACTGTCAGAAGAACGAAGAAGGAAAAGATGTCCAGCTATGACCGGCACAACCTTTGATAAGGATGCCTGGGTCTCCACCACACCAACCTCTTGCTGTCCCGGTGAGCTCTTCCTTCCCGAGGAGAAGCAAAGACGAGCAGCCTTGTTCAAGGTAAGTGCCGAGGAGTGTTTCTCCGTGGCAGGCCGTTACCCGCTAGACTATGCCATCGCCTTTTCTAACGTTTTTTTCCTCGCGGTGAATCGGATGATTCCCTCGAAAAAGGCGATGTTAGCAGCAGCTCCGCTGAGTGTTTTTTTCTGTTGAGGGCCGCTACTCGCTGGACGATGCCACCACCTTTTCTAACTTGTTTTCCTTGCAGTGAATCGGATGTTTCCCTCGAATAAGGCATTGTTGGCAGCAGCTCCTCTGAGTGTTTGTCCGTGGCGGGCTGCTACTCGCTGTACGACATTATCACCTTTTCTAACGTTTTTTTCCTTGAGGTGAATAGGATGATTCCCTCGAAAAAGGTGATGCGGGCAGCAGCTCCGCTGAGTGTTTTTCCATGGCGGGAAGCTATGTGCGGGACGATGCCAGCGCCTTTCTTTGACTCAGAGTCACGCAGTGAATCTAATGACTCCTCCGAGAAAGGCGATGCTGGAAACAACCTCGCTGCCCCTTCCCTCCTGGAGAGCATAGTGACAGAAGAAGAGTGACAGAGCAGATGCTCAACCACCTCGGGTCTTCCCACGTTGGCGACCACACCGCTCCCAGCCTTCGGTGCCCTCCTCTCGGAGCTGCCAGGCATAATCTAGGAGGTTGCTAACACAAAGGGACTTTTCCATCCCTCGCCTCCCTCCACCCTGATTGGATGACCTAGTGGGAAGGTTTGGCTCCGCCCCGGCTCGTCGTCCTGATCCCATCTGGCCTCGCTGTTCAGCTTTGACGTCACACTGGAATGAAGTTGCAGCTGGGCCCGGCAAGCTGAAGACATCCTTCTCTACCTTTGCCTGCATCTCCAGAGTGGAGGGTTTTACCGATCAGTGTTTTTTCTCTCAGTCCCCCCCTTCCCCCCGGTGCCAAGCCTGGCAGAGGCGCTTGGGGCAAAAGCTTCCAGGATGGACCGGCAAACTATCTCTCCAGGGAAGCATGACCAGAGTGTTACAAATCTCTCCAACCGAGCTCACCAGTGCACATCCCAGGCAGTCGCGGTGAACAACAACATCGCTCTGTTGGTCTACTCCACGACAGCTGCAGCCTCCACCAAAACGACGTCTCACTCAGAAAGTGTTCACGCCTCCTCTTAGTGCGTGGCAGCTCACCTCAGCTCTAATGTGAGACCTCAGCCTGGGCTCAGCACAGAGGCACACATAAAGCCTTTTTTCTGTCGGAGCCCCCCTTGGGTTCCCCTCGGAGAATCTCCGGAGCGAGTGATGGCAGTAAGGGTTTTTAGTCTGGTTGACGTTCATGAGAAACACAACACAACACAAAATGCATCCCCCTTCTCCAAGCATTACTCAGAGTGGCAGCGAGTGTGTTCCCTGGACAGATGGACGGACCGTCTGATCAGCAGGGGTTACACGCTGCAGTTCGCAGCTCAACCCCCAATGTTCAGAGGGATTGTAGAGACGTTTCTGTCTTTTCCAGAATAGAGCTTGTCTCTCTAGTCAGAAGTTCAGGAATTTCTGATGATTAAAATGTGATTTCCAGAGTTCCCAACAGAGAGGAAAATACTTTTTTTTTCCCTCCCACTACTTCCTGGTTCTGAAAAAAAAACAGAGGGATGAGACCCATTCTCGACCTGTTCAAGTTCAACAGTTCAATCATGGGGAGACAAGTCCACATGTTCACAATCAAACAGCTGCTGGAGAACTTCACCAGAACGACTGGTTCACCTCCATAGATCTTAATGGTGCATTTTTCTCCTCCAGGCAGGAAGAGCAATCAAGAGTTACCCAGAAATAGATCAGCATCTTTGGGTCTGTCCGCTGAACGGATCCGTTTAGAAAAGATGGACCTCCCACAGGATGTGGTACATACATTTCAGGGTGCTTGAGCTGCTTCCACCACAACGCTGTATACATCAAGTGGACAGTTTTTCAGCGCTGGTGCACAGAGAAAGGTGTGGAGGCCATCTCATATCCACTAGGTGGTGTGCTGTCATTTCTACAGCAACTGATGGACAGAAATTTAGCATTCAGCACAATTAAAACTTATGCTGCAGCTATTTCTTCCTGTCATGAGGTTTTTCTGTGACAGAACAGTTCTTAACCACCTACTGATGAAGCGTTTTTCTGAAAGGTGTACAGAGACACAGACCTGTGTCATGTCCACTAGTTCCACAGTGAGACCTAATTTTGGTCCTGCAAGCTCTGATCAAAGCTCCTTCTAAGCCTTTAGATCAGGTTTTACTTAAATTTCTGTCATTTAAAACAGCCCTGCTGTTAGCTCTGATGTCGGCAAAGACAGTGAGTGTTTGTTTGCTCTCTCTGTTGCTCCCTCATGTCTCAGAATTCAAGCTGATGGCAGTTCAGCTGTATTGCGTTTTAACCCTGCTCTGAAAAACATCACAAGCTCATTCAGATCGAGAGTGATAACCTTGTATGGGTTTTATCCTCTTCCTCATAATTCTGAGGAGGAAGCAACATCTCACCTCCTTCTGTCCCATGCGTGTGCTTTCGTGTTACGTGGTGCACACGGCCGCACTGCACCACTTTCAGTGGCTGTTCGTGCATTACAGGGACAGCTCTTCAGGACGCCCTCTATCCACCCAGTGCCTCTCACACTGGTTGTGTGAGGCTATTTCTGAAGCTTACAGTTAATCTGGACTGGATCCTCCAGAGAATCTCAGCGCATTCCACCAGAGGATTTTCATCCTCTATGGCTCTGCATGGAGGGATGACAGTGGAGGATATTTGTATGGCGGCTGCCCATGGTCATCGCCATGTTCAATTATTTGTTTTTATCTACGTGATGTTTCTACTTTCTCCATGACCCATTCTGTTCTCAGGGTTCTGACAGAATGATTATTATTCGTTTCATGGATCCTCACTTTTGAGCTCACACCTGCCTGCAAGCAGTCATAGTGTGAGATATTTATTATCAGCCACAAGTTCATGACTGCTGATTTTATCATTATTAATCGGTTCATCGGTTCATCCTGAGGAGCCGTTGGCCTGCTCTGTTCATCGTTACACTGTTACATTTCGTATCCTCCCTTGTTCCTATTCACAGCAGCAGGTCTGCTATCTCAGCCTTTTTCTTTACCAGAGATCTTTTCTCCGGTACACGCAATTACGCAGCGTGTAATTACGCACACAGAAGGCTGAGTGATTAAATGATTTTTTCTCTTTTTTTGTGCAAGCAGGTGCTTCATGTTGTGTCTGAATGGACCCAGTGAGGCATAGACTACATCTGCTTCGCCTTTAACCCACTAGCGATAGCCTTAAAGGGTGAAGCCTATACGAAATAGAACGTTGGTTACGTACTGTATCCTCAGATCCTATGAGTATAGGCACAGCCCTTTAAACTCTGGACCTCACTGGATCCTAAATGACTGAAGAAAAAAAGCTATTTGGGAGCCGATTGCCCGGTTTTACCGTAATTTATATGGACCGGGGGTGGGGCCCACACAGCCGGTGGGCGTGGACTAAAGATTTCAGCGCTGCGCTGCGAGCGATGGGATAAACCCACTAGCGATAGCCTTAAAGGGCTGCACCTATATTCATAGAATCTGGGGTTACAGTACGTAACCAACTTTGTGTGTGCTGTCATGTGCACTGTTGATATATGGGAAAGATTGCAGCTATGGCTTGAACTGTCAAACAGATGTTTAGTTCTTAAAAATATCAAGAAAATATCAGAAATGTGCAAGGTAAGAACTATAGTTACTCAGAAAGCCTTCTAAAAACACTGCAAATTAGTATTTTGGGGTAACAGAAGCACAATGTTGGCATTTATTATGGCTTAACAATGGGCATGCAATTTCCATAAGCACACACACATTTTTGTAAACACATTAATCCTTGGAGCTTGGTTAAATTCTTAGTTATTTTTTAAAATGTTAACACAAAAAATGCACACAACAGCATTATTTTAATACAGTAGATAATAAATAATTGTGTGTTGACTAATCAGAAACATGAACATTTGAAAATCTGTCAGGGACCTGACATATGACAGAACGAGGTAGAAAATATCTTTTCTATCTTGGATAATTTATTTGCTGTACTAAAATATTCTTACATAGCTGTTTTGAATATTTACTACTGTTTCTGAACATATGAAATGACCAGATTTGAACACTCCACATGTAATATGAACCTGTAAAAGTCCACCCAATCAAGACAACAGCAACTTTGTTTTATGTCTCATCTTCATTTGGTTCTGGCTCAGGTCCACAGTCAACAATTTGTGAACTTATACCAATAACTAAGCATTGTCCTTTTCTCTTAAATATGGCAAAACTTAGTTTTTCACACAGTACCCCCCCCCCCCCCCCCAGTTAAAGTCAATGAAATGGCACGCACCTAAAACAGCATGACAAATTAAACAAACACTAACTCACAGACTGATGGTGAGGTTTGACGACCACAGAGTTAATCGATAAGGCAAGGGTGTAATGACATTACCAGTTACTGGGGTAACTGAGTTCTCAGAGCAGATGGCGTTATGTTGTGTGGAAAGCAGGGAGAGAGATCACCATAAGTGTTTTTGTGCGTGTGCACATTTGGATGTGTGGACAGAAAAAGTGTCAGTAATCTGATACGAGCAACACATCGAAGGCTGTTTTCAGTCTTGCAAATGTCTTCAACACTATTTATTGTCGCCACTAATTCCACTAAGTGAGTCATCGGAAAATAATCCCAGGAAAGTTCTCATCATGGGTACAATTCAGGCGTTATTTAATGCTGCAGTCACAAAATGTACCCAGCAAGGCTACAAACATGAAAAATATTCAGTTAGTAGTGACTGCACAGTGCACACAGAACAAACACCAAGTTTAATGAATCAAAACAAACATGGCATACAGTATGGTTTGTCTTTTTTATTGTTCTTGCTGACTACAAAGCATCTCTTAGTGTTGAAAAGTGATCAAAATTTGTTTGAATCTTATTTTGCCTTTGCTCAAGATATTTCATAAAATGTTTTCATATTTTTGTAAAACAGAAAGTTTCACTTTTTGATTTTTCATTGTTTCTTTTTATTTATTTTGTGTGTCCGTGCTTTGGAAAATGCGCTCAGTTCAGGCATTAAAAAAAAGTAATAATAATTTAATAATTTGTAGAACTACATTCTGAAAAACAAGTAGGTATTTCCTGATATCTTGGTTGCAATGATGCACAATAAGAATTACATTTTTGAATAGTTCTCCTGACAAAACTTGCTCCATCCATCCTGCTTTCCTTGCCAGCAGCAAGTTTTCTTCTTTTTAACTCTTGTATACTATAGATTTTCTTGTTTCCATCCATCCATCCATCCATCATCTTTACCCGCCTCTCCCTTTTCGGGTCGCGGGGATCACAGTGCCCATGTCCAGCCATCACTGTGCGAGAGACAGGGGACACCCTGGACATGTCTCCAGTCCATCACAGGGACACATAGAGACAAACAACCATTCACTCTCTCACTCACACCTAGAAACAATTTAGAGTTACCAATGCATGTTTTTGGTCTGTGGGAGGAAACTGGAGTACCTGGAGAAAACCCACGCATGCACGGAAAGAACATGCAAACTCCACAAAGAAAGGCCCCTGGACCGGGATTTGAACCGGGGACCTGCTCGCTGAGGCACTGTAAGAAAATTATTAAAAATAAAAAATATATCATTTGAGACACATTATAAATTGGTACACAGTTGTCGGGTTTGTGGGCCTTCCTTCTATTTTTGGCTGTTTCATTAAAGAAGATCACAACACAACAAAAAAAGGCAAACACAAGAAAGATTTGGGTATTTGTTGAGTAATTAGTGGAGAAAATCTTTTAGCTCTAAAGATTTCACAAGTTTTGCACGTTGGAAATACTTCTTATCTGTCTGTGTGCTATCTGTTGTAATATGTATTATACTATGCCTGTTAAAATGGTAGCTAAGCAGATGTGCTGCATAACTTCAGTGTTGGCTTAGCATAGATCATGTTTTTTTAATGAGGTTCAACGTTAGCAAGTTCACTCAGTAACCCTCTCAATGGCCTTGGCAGCTCATTGATTGAAGTGGAATAGCAACATCTTGAGAGGTGTGTGTGTGTGTGTGCGTAGGTGTGTGTGTGTGTTAGTATTTGTGTAGCTGTCAATGTTTGTTATTACATCCATATGAGATTTTGTGCCTTTTCTTGATATTAAATCAGTCTTAGAATATATTTTCACACGTGAAGATGGAAAGTATGCAACTTGGTTTCTTGAACTGTGAGTTGAATAAACTTAAAAATAGTACCTTTTTAAAAAATGTCTAGGGCACCTAGCTTAGAGGTAAAGAAATGTCTCTGTTTTTTAGGTCAATGCCAGTGTGGACAGTGCACTTGCCACCCACCGGGGGACAATCGAGTTCATGGCAAAAACTGTGAGTGTGATGACCGTCAGTGTGAAGACATGAGTGGAGAGGTTTGTAAAGGTGAGAATAAAAATACATCAGTGCACAAAAATATATTTTTATAGAAAAATATATCATAGAAAAGTGAATAGAAGTTATTGAAACTCTCACAAGTTATAATAATTTCTGTCTAAATTTTATTTTTCTACAGGAATACAATATTTACAGAATAAACATATACATATATTTGTACACATTGCTGGTTATTGTTGTGTTCTTAGGATTATTAGTTGAGGCTTCTGGGCAGAGCCTGTCCAAACACAAAACATCAAATTTACAGGCACAAACACATACACATCCCTCTAAACTCACTCTATGAAGCAGACAGTGGTACACTCACAGCCCCATGGAGCTGGTGGGTTGTTTATGAAGCAAAGAGGACTTCTCCAAACAAGGCATCCGAAAAGACATTGGGTGATCAAAAGCAAGAAACTTTATGGTTAAAGCCAACATTTTTCAGTAAGGTCATCTGGACAGTTTCTTTTTTGTGCTGAAACGTTTCGCCTTCGATCCAGAAGGCTTCATCAGTCAAGGAAACACACAACACAAAACGTTGTTTACGTACAGTAACCCCAGATTCTATGAGTATAGGTGTAGCCCTTTAAGAGCTGTCGCTGGTGGGTTTATCCCGTCATGCAAAGCACCGCACTGAAAAGTTTAGTCCACGCCCACCTCTTGTGTGAGCCCCACCCGGTCCATATAAATTACGTTAAGAGCGGGTAATCGGCTCCCAAATAGCTTTTTCTTCAGCCATTTAGGAGCCAGTGAGGCCCGACGCTTAAAGGGCTACGCCTATACTCATAGAATCTGGGGTTACAGTACGTAAACAACGTTCTATTTCGTATAGCTTCGCCCTTTAAGAGCTGTCGCTGGTGGGTTAAAGACGAAGCTTGATTTGGTCCCCGCCTCACTGGGTCCATTCGAACACCATAGGATGCACCCGCTTGCCCCCAAAAAACATCTTGTCACTCAGCTCTCCATGTACCATGTATCATGCACAGACGCGCGCTGCGTAGTTTACGCGTTCCGACTGCATGAACGCCCCGAAAAAGTTTTCAACGGGAAAGAGGAGAGGCTGAAAAGGGCCGTGAACAGAGCAGATCCACGGCTCTTCAACATGAACAGATTAATAATAAGTGAACTGATTATTAATCAAATGAACTGATTGTTGACAGAAGTCATGAACTGATTAGTGACCATAGAATAAGAACAACAGTCATAACCTGTGACTGATTACAACATCTCACACTGTAAATGCATGCAGTCAGATGTGAGTTTAAATGAGATTCCATGAAACAACAATATTCATTCTGTCAAGGCACTAAGGACAGAATGTGTCATGGAACAATCCGACACATCACGTAAATAAAAGCGAATAAATGAACAGGATGTTGACCACTTGGCCGCAGTGCAAATATCCTTCACCACTCGCTCCCCACGAGATTGGATGCTTCTCTCCCTCCCTCCCTCTCCTCTTTGCTTTGCTGCTCTGTCTGTCTGTGAAATTGCTGTGAGACTCTTGCATTTCTTCCGAACCATAATTATGGACTTGTTTTGTCCAGTTGGTCCCTCAACTCAATTTACAACATTTCTTCGAAGAGAAGACAGGCTTTGGGCAAGCCGATTTACCCTGTTGGCACATGCGCAGCTGGATATCTCATAGACTGGAAAACTTGATGATGTGTCTATCTCTGTTGCCATCTGTGGATTTTAAGGACACATATTTAATTGGATTCACGATAACTGGTTCCTGCTTTTTGGATTCTGCTAGTGCTGGTTTTATCTACAATCAAGGAATCTAAAAAAGTTAAATCTGGTCCTCTGGACATTCAAAAAAAACAAAACAAAGCAAATCAACAAAAAAATGTAGAAACGTTTCATCTCTCATCCGAGAGACTTCTTCAGTCTGAGGAGCTGTATTCAGCTCAGTCTCTTAAATAGCACCGTCTCAGAGTGGATCAACCAGTTTTGCTGCTAACAACCAAAACCAGCTGATCACATGCTCAAGAAGGACCATCAGCCTAACAATGGATCATTAGCTCACTGATGGCTGTTTACTGTTCACAGAGGGCTGAGTGATACTAGCAATCTCAGCATTGTAAGAGGGGGACAGTTGAACCCGGAGGCCTCCACCCCTGTTTAACGATGGACGATTTATTTTCACAAAGATGGCCTCCTTTACTTCTCTCTCAAACCATCGTTCCTCTCTGTCCAGGATGTGAACATCTTCAAGACCATTTGTTAGCATGATTAACTCTGTCACTTACAATGTTTCCAAATATCTTGCATCTGTACTCATCCCTTTAGTTGGCAGCTCAGAACACCACATACAGAACACCATGGACTTTGTGGATAAGGTGAGGGATGTCATCATGGAGACTGATGAAACAATGGTCTCTTTTGATGTCACATCACTCTTTACATGCATTCCTGTTGATGATACAGTAGAGGAGGTCAGTTTAAAATTAAAATCAGACACCACTCTGAGCAGCAGGACCACACTTTCCACAGAACAACTGTGTCAACTCTTGAAACTGTGCCTGCAGTCAACCTACTTCACATATGGGGAGCAATATTATAGGCAGAAACATGGGTGTGCTATGGGGTCTCCAGTTTCTCCTATTGTTGCCAACCTGTACATGGAGGAGGTAGAAAAGAGAGCCTTGACGTCCTTTTCAGGGACACCACCAAGTCATTGGTTCAGGTATGTTGACGACACCTGGGTTAAAATCAAATCTCAGGAAGTCCAACATTTTACTGACCACATCAGCTCTGTGGATAAATACATCAAGTTCACACGAGAAGATGTAAAAAATGGCAGGTTGGCTTTCTTCGACTGTGAGGTTTCAGTCTCTGATAGAGGACATTTGCAAACTGAGGTGTACCGCAAACCCAACCACACAGACCAGTATTTGCAGTTTGACTCCCATCACCCTTTGGAGCAAAAGTTAGGAGTCATCAGGACTCTGTATCACAGAGCAGACAGCATTCCCACTAGCTCAGGAGCCAGGCAGAAGGAGAAATCCTACACAAAACAGGCTCTAGAGCAATGTGGATATCCTAACTGGGCCTTCCTGAAAGCAGAGAAGAAACCCAAACAGGACTCCAGTCAGCCAACAGGTGAAAAGGAGGAACCCAGACCCAGACCAGTGGTCATTCCAAATGTTGAGGGAGTATCAGAGAAACTGAGACCTTTATTTTCTAAACACAACGTCCCAGTGGCTTTTAAACCCCAAAATACATTACGGCAAAGACGGGTTCATCCCAAAGATCCAGTCCCCCGGCACAAACAGAGCAATGTTGTGTATGCGGTTCAGTGTCAGGAGGGCTGTGATCAGTCTTACATCGGGGAAACAAAACAGCCACTGGCCAAAAGGATGGCCCAGCACAGAAGATCAACATCATCAGGCCAGGACTCTGCGGTCTACACTCATCTCCAGGCCAGCGGTCACTCTTTCAGGGATGAAGATGTTCACATCCTTAACAGAGAGGAACGATGGTTTGAGAGAGGAGTAAAGGAGGCCATCTTTGTGAAAAGAAATCGTCCATCGTTAAACAGGGGTGGAGGCCTCCGGGTTCAACTGTCCCCCTCTTACAATGCTGTGATTGTTAGTATCACTCAGCCCTCTGTGAACAGTAAACAGCCATCAGTGTGCTAATGATCCATTGTTAGGCTGATGGTCCTTCTTGAGCATGTGATCAGCTGGTTTTGGTTGTCAGCAGCAAAACTGGTTGATCCACTCTGAGACAGTGCTATTTAAGAGACTGAGTTGAATGCAGCTCCTCAGACTGAGGAAGTCTCTCGGATGAGAGACGAAACGTTTCTACATTTTTTTGCTGATTTGCTTTGTTTGTTTTTTTTTTTTGTTTTTTTTTAATGTCCAGAGGACCAGATTTAACTTTTTTAGATTTTTCTACCTGGATTATTGAGCATGCATCGGGATACAATCAAGGAAGTTGTCAGCAGCAAATGTGGACCCGATCATGCTGCTTGCCTTTATGATGGCTTGGTTCATGTCTGGAGTACCCGGACTCAAATGCTTTGGGCTGAATGGATCAGATCTTGGGGATTTTTACTCAGTCACGTTCCATCGGTGTAGCCATGTTAATTTGGACATTTTGAAACCGAGTGGACCAACACAGACTCAAGGTTGATGTCATTAAGTTCTGCCTGTCCCCAAAACAACTGTGTATCTAAATTTTGGTCACCTTGGCTGTCCTTGAAGGTCATCTTATCTAAAGTCGCCTGGAAAAAATGTGATCTGATGCTCACCACCCCCTCCCTGAGGAATTTCCAACTGATAACCAGATGAGCCAGCTGAATAAACTTTGTGTCATCATTTGAGGACTCTGGATTCTCATAGAGGTTATTCTTGGCCATTTCTCGACATACCTCGAGAATGTTTATGGATCTCACCAGAGGACATTGACTGATTACAGTGACCTCGAGAGCATCTATAAGTGTTGTTGACCTCTCTCGTCTCTGATGCAGCATGTCTATGTAAATATGTGCTTGTTTGTACGAGGTGTTTTTTCAATATTAGAGGTTTTTCCCAGCCAAGAAAAAAGTCTGATAGGAATTTTTTTTCGCCTCCAACTCCTACATGTGTCCAGTTAACCACTGGTTTTGTCTGTCCAAACAGGTCTAACTTGTATATGAGTCTTCGAGGCTCAATGTGATTTATCTGTTTAAATAAAGGTTGAATGAATGAATCCTGCATTGTCATACCATTATGCAAAGCAGTCAAAGATGCGATACCTCTGGTCGAGTGCGCCCTGAGGTTGTCAGGAGGCTCTAAATCTGATGCTCTGTGGGCTTCAGAAATGGCCTCACACAGCCTGTGTGACAGGCGCTGGATGGATAATGGGCGACCTGCAGATGCGTCTCTATAGTGCACAAACAAATGTTGAGTCTGACACAGTGCCACCATGCGTGCTACGTAACACGTCAATGCACGCACAGGGCAGAGAAGATGGAAAGATGCTTCTTCTTCTGATTTGTGGGGAGGAGGGAAAAATCC